AAAAACATTGAAAGCTGACCTCATTTTATGAAAAAGTTGCCCACTGCGTTTTGTAGTAAGAAATCTTACATAAACACACAGTGCTAGATGACTCAGTAGACAGCATTCTTATGACTGAATCAGGCCTGATCCATGCCTCAAACCCACTGCAGAAAGGTTATTATGCTTTTTTAAGTCATTCAAAAAAGCTTTCATTTTTAAATGTTAACTTTAATGGCAGTATTTTCATACTGTATGTAGAGGTTTATCTAGAGGTAATACTGTAAGCATAACAGCAATACATATTTACTAATAATTCCACAAAAAATATTGATTTTAGTTATTTGCTGTATACTTTTAAATTTCAAAAGGTATAGCTCTATGAATGTTTATTGTACTAATATGTAAACATATACTTACCATGTTCATTTCTTGAATCAGTACAGGGAAACACTTTTTTTTGTGACAGATCCATAACTTCTGTTGATTGGACCTAACAGGATTAAAAATAATGCATAAATCTATGGCTGGTAGACCTAAGAAAAAGCAGTTGTTTTTAATCTATAGTAATAAAAATAAAACCTACTAGTGGCATAGGACACTACCAGAGAGAGAAGACACTGTTAATGATGTAGAAATAGGGAAGCGTTCAATAAAGGTTTTTGTGTACGGAAAGGCTGACGTATTCATCACACAAGCATGAAGTCCTTTCAAATCTATTAGTAAAAAAAAAATCAACAGGTCCATATAACCTGTACCCAAGAGCCTCTATAGTGTCAGACAAAGGATTCTCTGGCCATTTGGTATCAACCTTTTATCAATGCTTGTATAAATCTGACATTTTTAAATATCAGAAAGATTCCAGAAGATGAGAAGGGTGTCCATACTATGCTTCTAGTCAAAAGGAGCAATAGGATGACCTGGGAAACTATTAGCTGGTTAGCCTGACAGCAGGTCTCAAGCAAAAACATGAAAAAAAAACTAATGCTGGATACAACTGATAAAGACGAGGAACATAATTAACAGTTTCAAAAAATAGGTCTTGTCAAACTAATCTGATTTCATTCTTTGGTGGATAAAAAATAGCTATACAGACATAACATACTTAAGCCTTGAAGATCTACGACAGTACCACACAATAACCTGATTAAAAATTAGCAGTATCAATAAAGTGCACATTAAACTAAGAACCTAATGACAAGATCTTAAAGCAATTTTGAGAGAATTATTACTGAAGCGGGGTGTTTCCACTGGGGTTCTGCATGGCTAAGTATTAAACCCAAATCTGCTCAGCAATTTAATCTAAGACCCATAAATAAAAAAATAAAATCACTGTTAATAAAATTTGCAGGAGACAAGGCTGATGGAACTAGAAATAGCAAGGTCAGGGCAGTTACATACAACCATCTGGATCACTTGGTAAAGATGTTCAATTAAAAATAAAACGTATTCTAATACACCTTTTGCCATTTAAGTGCAATTGTGTGAACTTAATATAAACAACACTTTCAGTACACACCAACCTCCCTGACGGGAGCTAGTTACTTTCAGGGCTGTTTCTACTACAGCAATGCATAGTGAATGAATATTGCTTATGCCTGTCAGCACTGTGGTATCAGCAGCCATGAAACTAATTAAGTTTCATCATTTGCAAGGCTTCTAATTAACAGTTGCTTCTCTTTTACCATTTCTAGGAAGTTAACCATAGTACAATTGCTTGCAAAGTAAATGGTGAAAAAGAGGACACTGTATACACGAGAAGTGTATGAACTTAACTGATATACAGGTAACTACAGGTTTGCTACAACATAGGCAACAGGCAAAAAATTGGAACCAGTATTATGTTGTGTAGTTAAATTATGCACTTATCAAGTATGCATATAAATGAAGTAATAATGTATCACCAAATACAAGGTTGTATACATCTGCAAGGCATATAGGCTCTACTTACAGGGTAGGGGACCATATTCTGGAAAGCAGTGCCAAAATGTTACGGGCATAGCATACATGAACATGGCAAGCTAGATGGGAAAAGCTAACACAACTTTTGGACGTACAAAGAGCAAAGCAAGGAGGGACGCAGATAGGATTTTACCTCTACATTCAATATTAATAAAATAGATACTAAAAACCAGAATTGATACTTCTGATGCCTGACTGAAAAACCTTGAGAGGATATAAAAAGTAATACAATGGCTCAGGAAAAGTTACAGTGAAAAACAGATGCCTTAATCTGTTTAGCTCATCAAAAAGAAGGCTGAGAAGTAATCAAGAATAAATGTCTCAAAGGCATACTTTATTCAAACATGAATTATTGGTGCAATAAGAGTATAACCGGAAGAAATGTAATGGACTATGATACATAGCATGTTAGAGCAGGATGACCTACTGTTTCCTCCTAGTCTAAAATGCTAACTGCAAGACCCAAATTGCCAGAAAGTGACATGAGGTTTTTTACCTTTTCCTCAGGAACATCAAACATTTCCTTAACACCAACATAGTCCAGTTCAGAATCTGAACGTTTTTGTTTAGGCTCTGCCAAAAGCTTTTGCAATCCCACAAAGTCATCAACTGGTAAATACTTTTCTCTTGGTGTCCTCAGTAGTCTACTGATACCAAACATATCTTCTATTGGTCTGACAATTTCCTTTGGTGTCTTCATCATACAGCCGATTCCCTTCATATCTTCTACTGGTTGGTATTTTACTTTTGCTGTTGCCTTGGTAACTGAGACTCCACAAATGTTGTTACCTACTTGCTTTCTTTCTTCTGGAGTTTCAAACAATCTTTTATAAGCAATATCATCTACAACAGGTTCCATCTTCTGCTTTGGGGTCCGCATAAGGCGCTTGACTGCCGAGAGGGCATCAACGGGCTGGGTCTTTTGCTTTGGGGTCCGCATAAGGCGCTTGACTGCCGAGAGGGCATCAACGGGCTGGGTCTTTTGCTTTGGGGTCCGCATAAGGCGCTTGACTGCCGAGAGGGCATCAACGGGCTGGGTCTTTTGCTTTGGGGTCCGCATAAGGCGCTTGACTGCCGAGAGGGCATCAACGGGCTGGGTCTTTTGCTTTGGGGTCCGCATAAGGCGCTTGACTGCCGAGAGGGCATCAACGGGCTGGGTCTTTTGCTTTGGGGTCCGCATAAGGCGCTTGACTGCCGAGAGGGCATCAACGGGCTGGGTCTTTTGCTTTGGGGTCCGCATAAGGCGCTTGACTGCCGAGAGGGCATCAACGGGCTGGGTCTTTTGCTTTGGGGTCCGCATAAGGCGCTTGACTGCCGAGAGGGCATCAACGGGCTGGGTCTTTTGCTTTGGGGTCCGCATAAGGCGCTTGACTGCCGACAGGGCATCAACGGGCTGGGTCTTTTGCTTTGGGGTCCGCATAAGGCGCTTGACTGCCGACAGGGCATCAACGGGCTGGGTCTTTTGCTTTGGGGTCCGCATAAGGCGCTTGACTGCCGACAGGGCATCAACGGGCTGGGTCTTTTGCTTTGGGGTCCGCATAAGGCGCTTGACTCCCGACAGGGCATCAACGGGCTGGGTCTTTTGCTTTGGGGTCCGCATAAGGCGCTTGACTGCCGACAGGGCATCAACGGGCTGGGTCTTTTGCTTTGGGGTCCGCATAAGGCGCTTGACTCCCGACAGGGCATCAACGGGCTGGGTCTTTTGTTTTGGGGTCCGCATAAGGCGCTTGACTCCCGACAAGGCTTCAACGGGTTGGGTCTTTTGCTTCGGGGTCCTCAAATGATGCTCACCTCCTGACAGGGCCTCAGTGGGTTCTGCCTTTTGCTCTGGGGTCCTCAAGGACCGCTTGACACCTGCTAAGGTCTCAACTGGCTCCATCTTTTCCTCTGGGGTCTTCATACACTGCTTGGCACCTGACAAGGTTTCAAGAGGTTCTGTCTCTTGCTTTGGGGTATTCATTCGACTTCTAGCTCCTAATGTCACCTCATTTATTTTATTTTCTGCTATTATTAATGGCTTCGTTCCCATTTTCTTTTTCATTATTGCTTTGTCTTTATTAGAATCTGAAGACTTTTCTCTTTTCAGGAAATGAGATACAACTTCCTGATTAACTTGTTTTTGTTTTGCACTACTTGAAATATTTAAGGGTGATACTGCCATTTCTCCTATAAGAAAAATAACGATAAATAATTTGGGAAGACATTAAAAGCAACCATCCAAACATTAAACTGTTGAACATTCAAGGGAAAAATATCAGGTAGGCAAAGCAGCCTGTCAGAATAAAATCTTATATTCTTCTTTAAATCGAGTAACTTGTTAGTTACAAGAATAATGAAGAAAACAATGTAAAGGCCTCTGTGTGGGCTACACAAAATATTACATTGAATTGCATATGCATATTAAACAACATTTGTATTCCCTTTTATTTAATCTGATATTGAATTACGTTTCTTGTATGCTGGCTCTAATTTTTAATTTTCACTGTTCTATTCCTTTTTATATTGAAGGCATGTAACAGTACTAAGTGACAGATGGAAGCCAGAGATTGACATAAATGGACATTTGAAACTTTGGCATAGTGGCAAATGAAAACTGTTGCAGGATGAGGATATCCATACAACCGGTAGCTGCAGACAGACTTGGATTTAGACTTTTCCCTTACATTTCCCAATATTATTTACATCTGTTGGAGAAATATTATATTTTCTTGCATAAAACATAACCCAGAATAAGACATGCACCTGTTTTTTGAAAGGCAGAATTAAGAAAAAAGGTTAGTCCTTGCAATAAATAAGCAAGTAGCAGCAGCTAGGAAGCTGAGCCTGTTCCTCATGGATGTCGCACAAACTTTTACAGTCATCTGGTGAAGCCATAAGTAGCAGAAACTTCTGTTATCCTATCTCTTCACATATACTGCACACTCCAATTTCCAGCAGGTGGCTTTTTGGAAAAAAACTGCATGCAAGAAAAAGACAGCTGTACAGACTTGAAACTGCCTCAGAAGAAGTCTAACGGACATTGTTGTAAACTAAGGTGGCCACCAGCACATCACCTACAGAGATTTTTCCAATGCTGCCGCAGGTAGATGCAGTGGTATCAACAGTGGAATGTTTTAAGAAGGAAAAGTTTAGCATAAATATTATAGCTGAAACTTTTCTTAAAGCTTGTGTTTATTCTAAAATACAATTCTGCAACAAATTCAGTATATGTGAAATGCAAAAGGTATTTTGACAACTTTTTTATTAAAAAAAAAAAAAAACCACAGCCTTTTTGTTTGGGGCATGGCTTTTTAATGTGCTACTCAGGGTATCAATGATTTGCTTTCAATATAAAACTATGAACAGCAAAAGCTTTGTTATCCAGCACTCATGGGGAATGGGGGGTGCCAGATAACAAAATATGCCAACTGAGAGGCCCATACAGGTATCTTTGCCTGTGTTTGGGCTGCTGCCGCCCCTCCTACAGGCCCCGAGGGACAGGGAAGCGGGACCCGCGTAGGCTGCTATGCCCCAGACCGTGGGGGCTTTGCTTTGGGGAAGTGCCACTGGGCACTTCTGGTTTTGGTTTTACCTTACAAGCTGCCATGCCGGTTAATAGAGCACGCTGGCTTGTAAAGTGCCGGATAATGCAGCTTTTACTGTAGATGCATGTTTACCGACAAAAAAGTTCATAAAAATAATTGAACTTATCTGGCAGTATAAGAAAGATTATTTTGCCTTTGTAATACTACTAGTGTAAGCAATAGCACATCAAAAGTAGTTGTCAGAAGCCTTCTTCAACTGAAGAAAATACATGCCATATTCTCAGGTTAACTGAAACATACTTGTAATATTTTATATATTGAAAAGATTTATTCTTAAATTCTACCAACACTCTATCCAGGGAACAGAATACCCCTCAATGAAAATGTACTTATTGTGGGGTAGATTAAGATAAGATGCCTCTCAATAACAACCGGGTAAGTGACCTTTCTTCACCATTGATTAAAAGGGTACACAGGAACAAATACTAGAGTAGGTAACATGTTTGTATTTTAGTATACCGCACATTGACTTGCTCACATAACCACACTGGTCTGCACATGTACCAGCTGTACCACATTTCAACAAAATGCAAATGTGCATTGCTTAAAGCTTGTTGTGCACAGTCACGTACGTTTTATTCTTAGCAAAATCCCAAACTTCAACAATCCAAATTATTATTATTATTAATTAAACATAATTACTGTGGGCTTCCTCATCCTCCTCTTCAATAAGTCCGCATAGGTTACAAAACGTAATGATTGATTATGTTTATGTTGCCAGGTTAGCAGCCACTACTCTGCTTTTTTCTGAACATAAATTCTTAAACCTTGCTCCCATCCTTCTGTTAGAAAAAAAAAACATACCAGATTCTTCTGGAGTGAGTAGCTCGGAGACTTCCATTGCAGTATACATTGGTGAAAGGTCAGTCTTCTGGCCAGATGTCAGAGATGGACTTTTTTGATCCCTATTTACTGGAGTTTTAAACATCTCAGGCATCCCTAAAAATGATATTCAAATGAATTACCATGTGCTTTCACATACAAACACCAATTAACTTGGGAAAGCCCAGAACAGTGATTCTCAACCAGAACAATGATTAGAACTCCTTAAAAACTCAAAAATCCTGTTTTTTGTTTTTTTTTTCAAATCAGTGGGAAAAGGAAGCAACAATGTTAGGAAACAATAACAAAACAAAAGTAATAAGTATGGGTCTGATTGAGGGCTGTGCTAGTTAGCTATTGAGATGCTTCTCTGACTCAGCAAGACCACTGATTGGAATTGAAGAAAGGGTGGCAAACTCTGCTCTTTATTCCCTCAGGGTATAAGGAGAGGGGCCTGGAGATATAGGCAACCAAGCATAGATACTGATATGGAAGTGGGTGGTTCTCAACTTCTTTAGACTTAAGTGACCCCTCACAAAATACCAGCTCCTACCTTTTACTCATTTTTTAATTGGACAATTCTCCTGTTGCAAAGTACTCAGAAAAACCACAATAGATCAGAATGTTTAGACATTATGAATTCCTATTTTAATTTTTTGGTCTATCTTGCAAATTCCGAGTTTACACACCTAACAATGATAATTCTGCATGGCATCCCAAATGAGAACCACTAAGCTATGGTAAGATTATAAATAATCATCATCATCATAAAATGTTTTAAAGATAACCTTGTGTTTAAGGCTTAGGGATGACACACCCACATAAGAACATGTGTGGACAACTACTCAAAGAAGAATAAGATAGTTCAAGACAATTATTACCATTTCACTCTGAGAAGCTAAGAATAAGCTTATGGAAACAATATTTTATATATGGCAACACAATATATATTGCTAAACTATTATTTTCTGCTATTTATCCCATTTATTTTGAAGTCACTACCATTGTTTTATCAAAATATCCAATTTTTATTGGAAAATGAAATATTGCTATACTGAAGTACAGACAACTTAGAACTGTAATCACTACATAGCCACTAAAGTTTCACCTACTTTACTAGGCCATCAAAATGCGATGATCCAATTTACATACATAATGATGCTTAGATATGCAAGCATGTTCAATATGCAGCACAAGAATGAGTGCACAAACATGCGTATGGAGCATTGCATATTCCAATGAAAACACCTACAAAGAGTAGTTCAAAAGTATTTGATAGTAATACCAGTGAAAAAAATATTCAAGTTCCACCACCAGTAACTGGTGTTCAAGTGTGGCAAGACACTGCAAAAACATAGTTAATAACCTATCCTCGAACAGCTTACTCCCTAGAGGGAAGCAGTCCCTCAATAAGAGGATGACAAATCTACCAGTAAATAGGGAAAGTAATCAATGAGTCCAGAGATAAGTGAGGGAGTTGATCTGAGATCCATGTTTGACTGCAGACATGGTAAACAGTTCAGGGAGGGGGGGTAGATCACAGTGACGTTTATCATAGCAAGGCAAATTTGCTTGAAACGATCAATACCTTGTCAACAATGGTGCCATTGGGGAGTGCCCAAGTCTCCCACGTATTGATGTGAAAATCCTATTTCTTCAGATTAGCCTTCCAAGTGTCCTTGAATCTCTTCTTTTGCCCACCTCTAGAGCAGTGACTGAGTGAGTCTGGAGCATAGCCAGCTGTCAGGCATCCTTATGTCATGTCTTATCTAGAACTAGCACCTTATAAATGTGACTTGAATTCTAGTGATCTTTGCTTAAGCCAGAACGCTGGTATTTATTCTTCTGTCCTTCTAACTGATACTGAGGATTTTCCCAAGACATCACTGATGATAAAGTTCCAAAGCTAGTTTCATAAGCATACAACAGGGTAAGGATGTAAACAGCATGGTAGAAGAGAAGCTTAGTTTGGGTCCTGATGTTACTATGATTGAAGACATGATTTTGGAGACACCCAAAGGCAGCACTGGCAGATTTCATCTAGTGTTGAATATCATTGTCTAAGTTTACTTTTAGGGAAAGGTAGCTACTCAGGTAGAGGAAATGTATGATGTTCTCCAAGGACTGCCTGCTAATTCCAGTGCAGAGGAACATCCGGTTGGTTTGGTAAAGGGCAATAAAGTATATTTTTTTTGTTAAGTTGAGCGCGAGTCCAAGCATTCTGTACACTTCACAGAAGCAATTAATAGTGACGTGGAGCTCTTCAATTGAGTAAGCAAACACACAACACCATTGCTGAGATCAGTGTATGACATCAGCAATGGGGGTGCTGATTATGTTGGATTTGGAATGTAACCTGTTGATGTTAAAGGGATTCTCATTCATGTGATACTGGATGCTGACTCCAGAAGCAAGTTTATTAGCAAAAAATAGGAATACCTGGGACAGAGATGGAAAAGAACATGGGTGCAATGACACATGCTTGCTTGACTCTAGTTCTAATAGTGAAAGGGTCAGTTTCCTAACTATTGCTTAAGATGGTTGCTTTAATGTTGTCATAAAGACATCCAATAACTAATTTGGTGGGCATCCAAAAATCTTATTAGGATCTTCCATAGGACCTTTCTGTTGACTCAAAGGCCTTAGTCATGCCTTTGTCAATGAAGACCATGTAAAGATCCTTGTTTCTCTCAGCACTTCTTCAGCCACCTAGCAACAAAGATCACAACTTCTGTACCCAAGTAATATGAAATCACACTGGGCCTTGGGTAGCATCTCCTCAGTAAGCCAAGTGCATCTACTGAGAAGAACGTGGGCAAGGATCTTCCTAGCTATGGACAAGAGCATAATACCACAATAACTGCTGCAATACAATCTATTTCCTTTCTCAAATATGATAATGATAATGGCATCTCTCAAGTCACTGAAAATCTGTTTGTGTTTCCAGATTTTCAAAACATGTGCAGTTGGTGAGAGAGCTTTTTCTCCACCCTGCTTATACATTTCAGCTAGCAATCCATCAGGACTACATGCTTTGTTGTTTTTCACGGTGTCTTGATAAGTTGTGGATCTTTAAAATAATCCTTAATAGGGTGTTTTGAAATGGCTTTTGATGGTTTTGTCTTCCACATTAGAATCTTGGTTTGGCAGCTAGAGAGAGTTCTAACATCAACATATGGTGGAAGAAGCCATCTTGTTCCATCCCTGGGCCTCGAGGAACAGTTCCTTGTGTGCTTAGCCCATAGATGGCTTTAGTTGCACAGAAGAAACTATGGTTATCAAGGCTGTCAGCAGATTTTTAAAATTCTTTTGCTTCATCCTCCCACCACTTGTTCTTTCGCTCCCAAGTTTTCCTCTGGGTCTTGGCTTTAATGTGGCAATAAGCACCTTTCTTGTTTGTAGCTGATGTCAATCAACTGTGCTAAAATTTGATGGTGCTCCTTTTTCTGTCGATGAGAGCTTGAATTTCCCCATCATTTTACTCCAACCAATCCTGATACTTTGTGGAAAAGCCTAGATTCTTCGCACACATCACAGATGCCTTTGTTGAGGCTCTCCCAGCAATCAATCATGTCAAGATCATCAGGGAGGTCAGAGTTTCTCCTAAGACACTGGAGATCATTGCTTTTAACAGGGTCTGTCATGTACTCAGTACCAAACCTCTTACTTGGCCGCTTCTTTCATTTACATTTTGAAGCAATGTGAATGGACATGACCAAACATATCAAATAATGGTCCTTCCAGTTTATGCTGGTCATAGTTATCGTAATACGGATGTTGTGACAGCTGTGGCACACATTATGGCAGTCAATCAGGTGCCACCGTTTTGAGCAGGGGTGCATCCATAAGGTCTTCCATTTGTTGCTTTGGTGGAATAAGGAGCTTATGATGATGCAATGATGTTCTTCTTGGGAGAAGAATTCCATTTGAACCAACTTTCCCCGCCCCTTCCTTTCTAAGCATTCCTTTCCACAGCTCAGAGTCCCTGCCGATTCAAGTGCTGAAAATCACCAAGAATTATCTTGTCTTCTTTGGGGACAAATGGCAGGACGTGGTCAAGTTTACAACAGAATTCTCCCCCCCACCCCGGTCATCTGTATCAAAGGTTGGGATGTATACATTGATGACTGCTGCATGCTGCCTATTGGTCAGTTGAAGAAGATGAGGGGTCATGAGATGTCTTGTTAATGAAAACCTGACATTACAGCACCTGAATAACAATCTTGGTCTTGATAGTAAAACCAATGCTGTGGGCATGTCTGTCTTCTTTGCCTTTTCCTTTCCTAAAAAGGGAAACTACCATCATGCTCTGTGAGCTGCTGCCATCCTGAACTTATGGCCTTACTAAATGCAGCAGTGTCAGTATCAAATTGTAAAAGTTCTCTGGCTACAAATACCGTTTTCTGCTCAAGTCTGGCACTACATGAGGATGCAGACATTTCAGATTGCAAATTTCATTTCTTGGACTTTTTTTTTTTTTTGAAAAATTTACGCTTTTCCAGGCAAGTGAAATGATTCTGAGAGGATGATTTTGGGGGAAACAATGAATACAGTATGGGATAAAACACAGTCAAGCTTTACTGTGTTGTATTAAAGGTGAAGAGAAGACACTGATCAGCAGAGACGAACCTAAATGTCCTGACAGTGATGAACTTGCAAGACTTTATTTTTAAGAAAGTGAAATTAAAAATGAAGCTTCTCACACTATGTTCAGGCAGTGATTTTAAAACTTAAAAGCAAGAATTTTCAAAAGGTTTTTTTTAACACGAAATGAGGTTAATGTATGCAATGTTACAGAACATGTTACATGACCCGACAAAGAATGCCTTGTCTTTGAACAGCTGTCTAACTATCCCAACCACATAGTTGGTCCTGTAAAAGATATTACCCACACAAATCCTAGCCTTCTGCATATATTAAATGAAGACTATTTTGATTAAGCAATATCAAGTCAAAGCAAGAACTGTGTAGATTAAAAATTGTGCAAATCATTCAAACTACACCAGTTACCTGTGAAACTTTCATTTATATCCATGCAGAGTTTCAAAGCAGAGTTTTTCACCACTTTTGGGGCTTGTCCATAGTCCATTTTCACTGTGGTGGTATGAGCTCTTCCTATCATTATTGTAGCAGGAGAATCTGCATGACCTGTACTAAAATGTCCTTTTACTTTTCTTTCTGGTGTCTGTAGAAGGGAAAGAGAGAAACAAGCTAAGTAAATAAAGATGAGTTTAAAAGTAATCTCAAATGTACAATTTGACTAGAAGAGATGAACAGGCCACATAATACCAAATTAAAAAGAAGGAACGGGAAGAGACATCTGATTATCCAGAATAACTGCTTTCTGTGTCTGTTCTATCCTATAGTAAACAGAGACAATACTGAACAGAACTCCTAAATTATCACCGTTTAGCCTTCACTCCCTATAAGACGGGCATCACAGCCTTGCAGTGCTGCCCATGGTTTCTAAACTGGACCCACATGTTGTGCGCCCTGGACCAACCCATGTACTGCATGCAGCACAAACTGAAACTAGCGTGAGGGGCTGGTCTAGGGCACACGCGACCAGGTTGGGCTGCAGGTTGTGAGCAGCACTCATGCCAGATTGGCCCTGCAAGCTCAGTCTGACACACCAATAGATTGGCCCCAGGCCACTCTCCGATCTGGCCAACAAACTGGCCCCACGCCACTTATCTGGCCAAAAGGGCCTAATGAGCTTGATACCTCTGTTGTAGGATAAAACTGAGCCAATACCTGCTAACACCAACTAAAAAGGAAATATAGCATTAAATTCCTGTTCCAAGAGAACTTGCTATTGAATAAAATGGAATTACAATTCCAGTATTTCAATTCAACCAGCGTACAAATTTAAAAGAAAGGAATTTTTCTCCAAGGAATGTATGCACTGCAACAAGCAGTTTTTAGTAGTGGGTCAGTTCTTTTCAGTATGAAAAAGCTATTAAACATCAACTTTAAGCTAATACAAGCACATGAAGTTCTTCACCCACCAATGAAGTACTGCTGTATTTTAAGGTAAAACTGTGCAAAGTACAACTGCATACCATAAAGGAAAAGAGAATGACAAATTCTATATACCAAACTAAATGTCAGAAAAAAAATTAAGCAAAAATGAGTGTGACAACAGGGGGTACTGTCACCTTCAGCCCCAAACCTCTTTCTACTATTGTGATGTTTGACCACTGAGAAGCTAGAGACTTTCTACTTTTAGTCCAGTCAGTGTCCCTCCTCTCCACACGTCTTGGTCCTTGACCTTCCAGCTCTTGTACAGGAGATTTTGCTAACTGGGAGAATCCGACCCTTAGCGGTCTGTGTAAAATAAGTACAGTCCCTACAGAATTGACCAGCCTGTAATTGCCAATTGCTCTTTAAAAAAATCACACTTATCACAGACAAAAGTAAAGTATGATGAATAGCAAAAAGATTTATTATGTGGACAAGAGAAATCATACGGAAAATAATAATTCTAGAATTCTCTCCCTATACTGCTTGCTTCAGACCCCTCTATACTCAATGGGATCTAAAGTGCATTCCAGACAATCATACCTCTTGCCATACCACATGTGTGTAGCAGGATACGCAGTTGTGGGATTGTGCCTTAGATCCCATTGCACCTTATTGCCTGTACCAGAAAGCAAGCTCTTGCAGCTGAGAGCCCTCTCAGGTGACCCCAATGCACCCCAGGGCTGGGGGAAACAGCTACCATGATCTTCCAGCCTTTGTGGGGCATAAAGCTACAGAGGTTTCATGCACCCCTAGGGTTGGGAGATCGCAGACATGCCCCACAACTGCTGGGACCCAGCACTGGGAGGCACACTGTGGGGACACATCATCTGCAGGACTCTGGATTCCGCTTGCAGGATTCCCAGCCCCGACTGGTTATGATGATGCACCCTTGCAGCTGGAAGCCCTGCTGACAGGGTTCCCAACTGCACAGGAGATCCTGCTACATGTGCAGATTAAAGCTAAATAGCAAAGTTAGTACCCATTTTCAAGGTCGAACTTCATAGCTGGTTAGAGCTTTTCATGGTGTGATAGCTACCTTGCACATGCATCTGGTTTCAATGTAGCTATACAGTTTTCCAGTTAATTGTACAGTGCCTATAATAGGTAAAGCAGTCCTAGAAGTCAGGATAGGGCTGTAACCAGAGTCTAAGTTCCTGCAAGCAAGCAAACTGTCAGCTTGTACTATCCAGTTTCTGCCAGCTGGGGGCCTAGGTCACTCAAGCCAATCCTTAGACATCCTTAGCCTCTCAAAGAGTAAGTACTTTTACCGGATCTGTTTATTTACATTCTTCTATTAAATTCTCAAGGACCACATGTATATTATACAGATATATGTTTAAAGGAAGAGATTATCAGGCCTAACATCATTCCTGAGTTTTATTTTCCCAGCTCAGTCAAAAGACATGCACTCAAGAGGGCAAAGAAAGCACTTTAACGATGACCAAGCCGACTTGAAAAAAAATAAAAAAAGAGACATCAACATCACCCAAGACTACCCCAAAAATGAGGGAAGAGTCTGCTGCAAGGATCTTAGTACTTTGAAAGAATGACAGCAGGAGATGGAATAATGGGAGCAAGAGAAACAGAATCTTGCAGACCAAACCAAGAACCCAGAGCCACCCAGCCCACACGGAAACGTTTGCCCAAGCTGCAACTGTCTATCGATCCCAGATAGGCCTCGTCAGCCATCTTTGGACCCACAAATAAGACAATCAGGGAAGACAATCATCTTCAACTGCAAGGGATGGCCGTTGATGACATTTAGGAAATCTTTACATGATCTAAGACATGTAGGCTACTAATCCTTAGCTTTCAATTATTCCAATTACTCCAGACAAATAAAAGTCATCTCTGAACAGAGTGAGTGAGAGACAAATATCAAACGCCTAAGATATTTCTTCCAACTAAAAGCTTCTTCCTTTGAGATGTAAACCAGATGTTTGTGGATGGACTTCAGCTCAAGTATTCACCTTGCATAGCCATCTTAAATCCAAATTCTAATTTGTCTGGAGTACTGGTCTAGAGATTAACACTTTATTTAACAAATATCTTATAGCTCATTACAAGTAAAACTTTATGAAATGACAAAACTACAATTACACCCCAAACTGTGGTTCATACAAGCACACCTTATTTTTTCACATTCCACACATACCTGTTGTCTGAAAAATCACCTTTGGCTGCAATGGATGATCAGGTAAACCTGCCACACTCACTGACAAGCTCCCATGGGGATAAGCGAAACTATGGAGATAAGCTCAATCACTTTCTGGTTGGCAAGCACGGTTTGTGGCAACTTTGTCAAGGTTCAGCCAGGGAGCTGTGCACATGTGGCCATGCATATTGGACATTTCCGTAATACAACCTAATTCCATAGCATCTATAGTGTGTGAAAATAACATCTACTTAAGCACTAAAGAATCTATTTGTAAGCTGATCATGTATGTCTAAGACTGACTAGAGCTGTAGATCAATTCAGAGTAACATTCGTTTCCCAAGGTCTTTTAATGAACAATGCACCTTGCCCCACTCTTTGTAGGTATTGTGTGAGAGCCAATTTAACAAGAGTTAAATTTATAGCAAAGAAACACCAGAAACAATAGAAAAAGATACCAAAACACATGACTAAACTGTGAAAAGCCCTGGAAAAGTAAGGTCCTTAAATATTTAGTAATCTATAACATAGTCAGTTTTAAATGCAAGACCTGGGATAAAAAATAAACTCAACTAAATGTGTTGCTGCAGAAGAACGTACAGTTAGGCTTAGCTTTATCCTTTTGCTAATCTGAAAGGAAAACTTTGAAAACAAGGATATTTAATCATCTAGATCATTTAGACTGATGTTCAGAAGGACATCCGGTAGGTTAGAAAAGACTAATATATTTAATTACTGACATATTATGATCTGAGAAAATTATAGATTAAAAAGTATTTTATTTTTAGTAAGAATACCTTTGGCAACTTTAATTTCTTCACTCTTCTTCCTTTTTGAACATATTTTTTTGCAGTTCTCACTTGTGGTCTTGCAACACCCAGCTTCACCACCTCTGCCCAGGATTTTGCAACTGGAATGCAAAAAATAAATAAATATACATCCATAGCAAGTTCTCTCAGGACTACTAACAGCAACACAATTATTTCCCTATAAGTCCCATTTGTTATGGAATTTGATTTAGAAGATTAGGCACAGCAATACCTACACTTGATGCTGCAAAACAATTTCACTGTAGGAACATATTTTCAGCTGGAAATAAATTTGCAAAAAACTTTACCCAACTGAATGGGCATTTTTCATGCCAAGTGTCTGCCTCAAACATACTTTTGTTTTAAGGAGTTTCAGTAAAGGTGATTCAGCCATTTGCAAAAAGAAAACTTAACAGTTCCCTAACTTTTATACCACAACTCCTTATTAGATCCTTTTCTCCACTTACTGTTCTTACTGACCAAATATTTAGAAAAATGTTAAATTTAACAATCTTAAATTAACCTTATAATTTCTGCACAGGATAGCGACAAGGGAATTAGTCACAATTATATAGTGAGGAAGCTGTGGGACCCACGCCTCAGTCGGAAAGTATACAGTAACTGAGTCAAGTCTTCAGAAATGAAAAATAATATTTTGTAATTAAAGGCAGATTAATGGTATTCTAAGTAACTGGGTATTTATTTCTACCATAAGGTTCCAATGGGATTCTTTATGTTAACGGATATTTGCCTAGATATCTGTTCCTCATCTTCTGAGTGCCCTATATTAAACACCTCAGAACTAAGCAGAAGAAATACTGATACAAATCAAGTTTAGGTGTATTTTGGAAGGTATAGTCAAATTATTAGGTACAATACAGTGATAACTGACTGAAGTTTATTGGCTTGTGATAGTGATAGACAGGACTTCAAACTAGGATCATCTGAAAGTCACTTCTGGCTATAAAATGTGTTTTGGAACATTCAAGTAGAGTCTGCATCAGGTATAGAGAATAGAGCAGCGGCAGGCAAAATACAACCTATGGGCTGGATGCAGCCTGCCAGGCCATTCTATCCAGCCTATGGGGCCCCTAAAAAATTCAGAAAATTAAATTATCTGCTTGTAGGTGCCTGTCAAAGATGACAAGACACCAGCAGCAGTAGGACCCAGCGGGAGCCTGCAGCAAGACCTAGGACCAACAGGATCCAGCAGCTGCAGTAGCCACACCCCACCCAGAAACCTCTCCCTAGCAGAGGCTTCTAGCCTGAGACCCTGGAGCTGTTCCCTGTCTCCCTCTGCCTGGGAGTGGAAACCAGCTAAGAACACACGGAGGGTGGGGAGGGAGGCAGGGGAGGACCACGGGTGATCGCCCGTCCTTGGGGTTGGGTCAGGCCAGCTCCTGCTGAGTCCTGTCCAGTAATGCAGCCAGGAACCACATTGTACCAGAGCAGCTGGCAGGTGGGTGGGGAGAAGTAGCGGTGGCAGGCAAGGAAGAGGAGAAATGGCAGTGGGGGGAGCAAGTGGCAGAAAGCAGGTGGGCAAGTGTGAGCGCAGCAAGAGCTGGGCAGGAGTGCAGGGTATGCTCCAGTGCCCTGGGGCCAGGGCAGGCAGGGGCCCAGAGCAGGGTGGCAGGAAACCAGGGCTTGGGCTGGCAGGGGCTCTATGGAGACTAGCCAGCTCCCTCCTCTCCTGGCTGGTACAACCCAGCCCGTCTCCATAGAGCTCCTGCCACCCACCTTTGGGCCCCTGCTAGGCCACCACTCCCACCCAGCTGTTGCTATGCTCATGCCCACCCAGTTGCTGCCATTTCCCTACTTTCCTGCCCACTGCTGCCACTTCTCCTCACCCCCCTCTCACCAGCACCACGTGGTTCCCAGCTGCACCACCGGACTGCAGAACTCAGCAGGAGCCAGCCCAGCTCCTGTGAAGGAAGCAGCGGCAGCAGTGGGCAGGAAGGTAGCAAAGCGGCAGGAGAAGGGCAATGGTGGCAGATGGGGGAGAAGTGGTGGTAAGCAGGAGCAGGGGACCCATGCCAGTGCCCCGGGGCCTTGAGCACCAGGAGTGTGAAGCCCAGGATTGGAGGACTGCTGGCAGGGGCTCCACCTGCTGTGGGCAATGAGTGAGAGTGACAGTGTTCATAGGGCGAGTTCCACACACACCCCACCATACACATGTACCCACACGCCCACTCACACTGCTACACATGAAGACCCTACACCCACACACACTATAGCCACCCTCCCCCACCACACGTGCGATAACCCTTCCCAGCCACTCTCCCTCACACTCGCACCCCCACCCCTCCCTACACAGTGTTCAGAACTTCCCCAGAAGCTGTAGGGTTCAAATACAGGAAACTGGCTAGCAACAATCCTGTAAGTCCCTGCTCCTGACTTGCAGCCTTT